GTATGGCGGAGGAATACGTACACACGCTGTCCTACGCTACGGTTGAGGCGCGCGGTTCAAAATTTTTGCTCATAAGAATTTGCGAATAAACGGGGCAACCATTGTGAATACAGTAGTGGAAATGGTTAACAATAGATTGATTGCGGATAAACGGGGTTACAAATACCGAGGCTATGAATAACGGGGTTACGAATACCGAGTCTATGAATAACGGGGTTTGCCTGTACAGTATATAAGTAGTAGGCAGCTACCAAACAGGGAGGTACTACTACTTGGGAAGATATTGGAAGCATAATGTATTGTTTTATGGTAGACCCTGCTGCCATATGGCATCACAAAAATTGTGACCAAGTCCCAGGTTGCCGATCTAACTTTCTGCCTCATTTACACACAATTGCAGGGTCTCAATTGTTTCTCTTACCATTGACAACACAACACAACATACAGTACAGTATATTGTTTCTCACTTTTGATCTTTTTTTTCTCTTTTTTTATTTCTTTATTATTATTATTATTATTATTATTATTATCATCACAGTGTTGTTATTACAGTATTATTGGTATTATCATGATTAAATTATTATTTTATTTTCAATTTTGTATTTTGTATTTTCAATTTTATTTACTATTTATTATTATTATTATTATTATTATTATTATTATTATTTATTTTTTAATTTTTTTATTATTTATTTTTATTTTTTATTATTATTATCATGAGTACTTCCCCAGGCCCTGATGTGGATCGGATCATCAGTGATCTGTGCCCGGGTGGGGTGACCGTAATCCCAAAAAAAAAAAATATGTGTACTGTATATTCACAGTGATCATGGCATTGTCGGGAGGTAGTGCATTGACATAGTGTTCAGGATAAAAATATAAAAAAAATAAACAAAATATAAAGCAAATTGCAAGTCCTTGATATTTTGTAGATATGTTATACAGGTTGTACCTCTCTAGTCCGGCAACCTCGGGACCTGACCGGTGCCGGACCATGGAAATTCACCCTTTTCCTGGATAGATAGTGACTTGGTAGCACTAGCACCACTTTCTCTGCTTCATGGTCTTTGAAGACATATTGAAGGGTTAAATGTTGCAGTTTCTCAAGTTTCGCAAGTTTTTATTCGACGTTATTTGAACACACAAAACAACACATTTAAAAATTTTGTCGGGCGGAAACTCCGAATTTCGACGCATGAACGCCCCTGGCGTTCAGGCAGCGGGCACAGCATTTATAAAGATTCATTGTTTATTACTGAATGTCTTTTTGATTGAATTAATGTTTGTGTGTAAAATGAGCAATATAATTCATTAATATCGTAGAATAAAACACAGGAAATGACACAGCATTGTTGTTGATTACAAAACCAGTGATGACGGTTCTACATATAAAACTTAGAAGAAAAAGACCTTGGTTGTAGCAGTAAAATTAATATGGTTGTTTTAAGTAATGTTATTTAATGTTAATAAATGGAACAATAGAAGTAGCTAATCTATAATGGTAAAGAAAAAGAGAGATCGCAGATAAGTGCAATGACATGTGACTATCGTCATTATTTTACATAGGAATATGAGGAAATACTTATTTGGTCTTCATACATATTTTAATTAATGTTTCTGAATTTGTTTTTTATTGAATTAATGTTTTGTGCAAATAATAATATATGAACCAGAGTCAATTGAACCCAGGAGGGCCCAGTAAACAGGAATGAAGTGAACAAAATAACATATGGGATTAAATGAAATAGAGACCGGTTGACCAAACTCCACTTTTCCCTAATAATTATGTTCTAGTAAAAATAACATCTTAATTTTATGATGGTACATGCACAATTAATATTTAAGAGGAAATAGGAGAAATACGAAATAAGTTATTCATTCAAATAATGACCTAACTCTCCCTCTTTCTCACACTCCTGGCTCTTCTCTCTGAGAAATGTTTGGGGGAAAACCACTAGATTTTAAGGTATAGTAATAAATAATACCTCAAACAAGTTAGATAATATAATGACATTGTTGGATTCTTGTGACCAGGAATATTTGAATATAAATGTCATATATTTTGGAAAAGTAAATATATTACTCAGTAAAACAAAATACTTACATTAGATCTAAAAATTTGTATGTCTAATGCAAAATCTATGATGTTTATATTCAAAATGATCATCATATTGTGAGAATTCCAGCAATGTAAATTATATTCTGGTCGGTAATTTGTGTGAATTTTATGAGTTAAAACAAATATCTTCAGTTAATAAAAAAATAAAATATTCTTCAGACACTTCTGTCAATCAAAGCAATTGCCTCACCTGCCTCTTCCCCCACGCCAGCTGGGTCAGTCGGTCCCTCCCTCCCCACCTCCACCTTCCTCCCTACCAGAGAAATGTTTGGGAGAAACCAGAATATTTACCTTTTTAGTAATAAATAGTACTCAGACTAAAGTTAGATAATATAGTTCACATTGCTGGATTCCGGTTTATTCTAGAATAGGCTTCTTTGTGATAAATCGCATATTTTGCACAAAAGATAACATATTTTCCAGAGTAAACAAAATACTTGCATTAGATCTAAAATTTGTATGTCTAATGCAAAATCTATGATGCTTATATTCAAAATGATCATCAAATTGAAAGAATTCCAGCAATGTAAATTATATTCTGGCCGGGTAATTTGTATGAATTTTATGAGCTAAATAAAAAAATTATACTTCACCCGTGTATATGAGTAGATGCACCGCGTAAGGTGGGAATTCCGGTTCTGGCAGGGTACCGTGTAAATGCAGAAACGCGTAAAGCGAAACCGTAATGTGAAACCGCGTAAAGCGAGGGTTCACTGTACGTGGAATATTAAAACACACGAGAGACGAGATGGCTGCCGGCATTGTTTATGTTAAAGCTTACAAAACCAGTGATTGATTGGTTCTACATATAAAACTGAAGAAAATATGACCCTGATTGTAGCTGTAGTAAAATTAATGTAAAAAAATTAATATGGTTGTTTGAAGTACCTGTAATGTTATTTAATGTCAATAAATGGAACAATATAAGTAGCAACCATTAATGGTAAAAAAAAAAGTGAGACTGCGCGTATGTAAGTGCGCACATGTGAAAACATATCGTCATTACTCTACATAAGAATATGAAAGCAACACTTATTTACTGTTCATATATATTGAAGGGTTAAATGTTGTACTCTGTATAGACAAGCAGAGAGAGAGAGAGAGAGAGCAGCCGAACTGCCGGATGTAAACAAACCTTAATTTCCCGCGGCTTTGTTGTTGTTTTTTTTACGAGGATTAGCCCACCCGGGCATAGGTCACTGACCCACATTGGAGCCTGAGGGGCAAAAATTTAATACTCCTGTAATAATAATAATAATTCAGATAAGGGAAAAAAAAAAACTGCCTATCTACCTATTGGACAAACTAAAATCGTTCCGGACCACAGAATGCCGGACTAGAGAGGTACAACCTGTACTGTACTGTCATCTAGTATTAACATGAAACAAATAAATATGTACCCTGTATGACAGAGTTTGGCTTGACTCAAGAACCATTTGTGTGAGCACCTTTGGCACTCCAGTGAATGAAAATATATCATACTCTCTTCCTTCATTTTTCTAATACCCTGTACAGTACTGTCTTCAGGTGTGTGTGGAGAACAACCTACTGACATGAAATATATACAGTTTCTCCCCGACTTATGATCTACTCGACTTACGACCAGCCGCACTTACGACCTGCCTCAGTCATACCAAAATTTTGTCATATTACGTATTTTTGAGTCCCAACATCAGTACATAGACAAATTTTCGTTTGTAATTCACTTTAATATGGCTGGCAAGCTTAAAAGTGAGAGTTTTGTGGTGCAGAGAAGAAAAAGAGATACCCATTTTAGATTTTCTATGTATTATTTAAGCATTTTCGACTTACGACCTGGATTTGGGTCCCTAACCCCGTCGTAAGTCGGGGAGGAGCTGTACCATATCTTTTTTTCTGTATAGTCCTCTTTCAGAGAGGTTTTACATAACTCATGAATTTTTAATACACTAGATATTTTAGATGGATGATATAAGAGGAGAATATAAAGGTTAAGAGAACATCACTCTGGCATACGGAGTCAGTTCATGCACTTAGTCGGTTGTGAAAATTGACAAACTGCTATGAATGCTAAGTGTTTAAAGTAATTTTATTGGAATGAACAATAAGAGCGCATGACTTAACTTGTTAAATTGTTTCACCTTTTCTTTATGTGAGAGGAATATCCATCTGTCCATTTTAGATTAAGTTACTTGGTCATCATCCCGAATTTCATTTCATGATACTGTACCTTAATATGAATTCCTAAACTCACACTCAGACAGTAACTAAAGTCAGTCTTCAGTTTTTTATAAGATATAACTAGTTCTACCAGCTGCCAAGTACTGATAACATGTGACCTTCATCTCCCATTATTTAGCTGCTCCTTGATCTCAAGGGTAACACATCAAAGGTTCATAGACAACTCATGAAGGCTTGAACATTTAAACACATTTTATGGCCTAGTATTTAATAATGTACTGTAGTTGACTTGATTTCCATCCCTCCTCTTAGACTCTGGATTAGCTAGGGCTGAGAGTTGGAGCTCTAGAACTCTTGAGATGGTTATGAGATCAGTACAATGAATTATTGAGTACTGGTACAGTATATGACTACTAAATGAGATGCTTCATAAGCCTGTAAAGAAACCAGCACATAGCTAGTTAATTTATAACAGTCTTCATGTGCCAGGATGAAGACCTACTTCAAAGAAATTGCTTTGTTCACATGAATAATCCATCCTGCCACTGAATAGTTGTAGCCTGTGACACTGGCAGGCTCTGCCTTGTGGTGTTTATTGTGTTGGTATCTCATAGTTTATGGCCCACTGTCATAAAATGTAACTTCATGTTTAAATTTTCTCCCCTTCATATGAAATGCAAGTTCATGCTTTTAATACCATATTGCCTGTACTATATTACAGGGACAAGGTCAATGATGAATAGAATACGAACTGCATCAGGTAGAGCTTTAATAGCTCGACTTCAGATTCGACCATCTCTAATCAAGCTTGATCCCTGTCTGTTCCCTGGAGGTCCCCAACCAGGTGAAATTATTGAGGTCACAGGCAACACAAACTGCGGCAAGTCATCACTCAGCCTCCGCCTGATTGTCACAGTGCTTCTCCCTCACACTTGGAGAGGAATGAACATTGGAGGCTGTGATGGAGGTGTAATTTTTTTAGATAGTGATTTACACTTTAGTATCTTGCAATTGGAAAACATGATGCAGAGAAGAATAAGAAGATTTTTAAAATTGAGCAAGGATGCCATAAAGAGCAAAAAAAATGGTTATGAATTTGATGAGGAACTAATTGATGATGATCATAAAATAAAAGAACTACTTCATTCAGATAAAGCAAGTTTAAAGACTGAAATAGACAATTTGATTAAACAGTGTTTGAAATCATTCTTTTATTTAAAATGCACAGTTAGTTCACAATTTGCTATTACTTTATTATCCATGAATGAACTAATAATGAACAAAACCAAAGTTTCATTGATTGTGATTGATAGCATCTCAGCTTACTATTGGCATGATAAAACTTATAGAGCAGAGTCATGGTATAAGCTTGAACAGTATTATAATGGAATATTTAAAGTATTTCTTAGTCATGTTAAGAATCACAAACTAGTGTTACTTTCCACAAGACAATCACTTTTCCGGAAGGACTATCAAAAGCACAGATATGTGCCATGCATGGAAGAAGAGGAATCAGAAGTGGGTATGATTGAATATGAGTACCTGGGTAAACACTGGGCTAGTTTTGTAACTTGTCGAATTCACTTATCAAAACTCACCACTGTACCTGAAGATGATATTACAAAAAATGATATGATTAGTGATAATTTATTATCAAATTCATCAAACTCTGTGACAGTTGGTAATAATGCAAACAAATGTGAAGGTTCAGTGACACCTGATGATTATAGGCAAATGTTCTCTGCAGAAGTAATTAAGAATGAAAAGAAAACCAAGCTGGTATTTACAATCCATGAAGATGGACTGAGATGGAGACCACAGTCATAAAAATTGTAAAGCATATTTTATTTATTTTTTAATTGGATCTTATGTACTAATACAATTACAGTATACTGTTAGCTTTTAATTTTAGGTAGCCATACTTTCAGAATTATAATACAATACTGTACAGTACTGTATATGCTACTATATAGTAAAGTGTTTTATAACAGGAACATTCATATTTTTCATGTGTTATGATTTTACATAAAATATATAATTTGGTTTTCACTTTTTCTTAAGAATTAATATTTCATTTTAATCAAATGTGACACTGTATACAAAGTTGTTTTACCTTGGTTACTTGGTGAAAATAAGAGAGGTGATTTTTCAAGACTGTTGATATCAAGTTAGTGGACCAGTAAGTACAGTAATCATCAAAGCTCATAAGGACATTGGAAAATGATTTGCATTTCATTGAGCATTGATTTAAAATGTTGGTATGGCATACATCTGTACAGTACTGTATATGGATGTGAGGGAGGCTGGATGTGAATGCTTCATCATTCATGTCGTATATGGCTATAGACAGAGCTGGAGATGATTGAAATGAACCTTACAAATGTGGGAGCAGCACTCTGTGAGGATGAGCTAAGCTTCTGTAAGGCTTTGAAGTTAAGAGGGGGAAAAGAGATTTTTTTTTTTTTTTTTAAGGTACAAGTGACCTTTTTTTTATATACATTACTGTATTAGGAAATATTTTGGGGAAGGTACAACAGAATATTGATGCTGGAAAGAATTATGGGATTGTTGCTGGACACAAGAAGTGATTGAATAATGTCTGCTGTAGCAGAGATGGTTAAGACCCTTAAAGACCCACTAGTCCCCAACACGGGCATATTGTGGCAATAAAACACTTACTATATTTAAAAAAATCCATTATCACCTTGTAAATGGGTAATTCAATTCCTGTATAATAAAAAAATTACTGTACTTACATTCAGCTTTCATTGTAGCATAGTTGGAGAATTGTCTGGAGTGTTGGTAAGAAGTGACTAGTGATGAAAGATGTTTTGTTTGAAGCTGCTGGACACAGCCCAGAGCGAGCAGGAAGTGCTGTTGACACGCACTTGCAACACAAAATTCTTACTTGAAGGCACTTATATATATATATATATATATATATATATATTTTTTCATACATACATCATACATATTGTAGTTCCTCGGTTAACGAGCACAATTGTTCAAGCAGGTTGCTTTCGTAAACTCCTTAACCGAAACCATTGTTTCAATGGGTTTTGGGGTAGTTGGTTCCAGCTCACCGAAATTGCCTAAATTCAACAAAAAGGTAGAAAAGTACACTTACTTTGAGGTGTGTATGTGAAGGCCCTGATGATGATGATGGGAATTAGATTGGGGGTGGAGGAGAAGGAGAAGAGAAGTCACCCTGTTTCAAGTATCTTCTAAGGGTTGTTAATTCTGGATCTTATATTAATGTCGTAATATGCCCTTCCCTTTCAAGTTCTTAGATCTTTATCTAAGGATCTTCCTTGAAGAATGAATATTCATGCGTAATTTTGCAGGTATAACTTGGGTATTTCCGGGATCTTTCATATCTACCACGTGATATTTTCTAGGTATCCACTTATCTTCTTTTTGACCCACACTAATTTATTCAGGGTTTTCACGGCCACCTTTCAGGATTTGTTAAACTTGGTGAGTCCTGAGGAGTGGAAGAGCAAGATACCATTTCACATCGTCAAGGAAGCATGGAGGAGCTGGAGAGGTTGGTTCTAGGGCGCATGGCTGAGCTGGCTGATGCTGAGACGCCTTGTTGGTGGAGCCACTGTGTCGAGGGAACGTGGTACTCTTCCTGCATGTTAGGGTCTCCTCCTCTGATGATAATCCTTAGACGCGGAGGGTAGGCCTAAAGGTCCCACACCCAGTCATTCCCTTGATGCAAACCAAGTTTATTGTTCTTACTAAAACCAGGCCATGTATTTATCCAGTCTTGTAAACACCAAAGTGTCGAATCATAAAAAGTAGTTCTCGGATCCCAAAATCAAACTCATGAATAGCAACCACCAGCTGTAAAAGGTCTCTATCAGGATCTTTCTTCATTCACTCATAAGAGGGAAAAAATTTTAATCATAGGGTCTTCGTTTTTTTCCTTTATTCAGATACTGATGCGATATCGGCATGTTGGTAATAATTCATCCTGTTTAACTATTCCTGGATATACCTACTCTAGATGACGAGTGTTCTAATTTGAGATCTCTTATCCCATTCTTTCCTATCCCTAGCTAAAAGTGCACCTCCAATGTCCCTGATTACTGGGGAAGTGCAACAGCTATTAGGAAAGATCCTGGCGCTCTGTGAGTGGCATTCATTTATTGGGTAATGACTCTGGTAGGAGATCTTAGTGGTTCCAAAGGACAGTCGACTCTCCCTTACCTGTCAACCTCCAAGCCCACTGACCTCAAGAACTATTCTTCAATTTTTCCCATCTTGGTGTTGTCACCCCGCCGTCACAGAGTGTGCGAATGGGCCCTCTTCATCTAAAAACCACCTCCAATATCTTCCCTACCACAGAAGATTCTGTATAATAAGACCATATTAGTAAGGATGAGCTCAATAAAGCCTGCATCCATCTTTTTTATCAAACAGGTGATGAAAGACCAAAAAATATTGCACATCTTCGGCTTACCACCCACACACTTCCCAAGATTGCTTGAACGGTTCCATCAAACTTTCAAATCAATGCTAATAAACTATCTCCCCCTGAACCAGAGAAATCCATACTCCTGATCGTAGAAAAGATCACACCTGTTCACATTAATCTCATGAAATGCAGTATCATTCCAGGCAGTCAGAGGAAAATCCCCAGAGTACATAAGTTACTCTGTATTGCATAATGGAGCCATATTAGGCCGGAGCCGGAGACAGATGACACGGATCTATTGAGAATTTTAGATTCCCCTCTATCTAAAGAAACCCCTGCTACTGGTCCCATACTCAACAATTGATGTGTATTTTCTGTTCTGAACTATCTCAAGCAAAGATTCATGTAAGGATATCAAACATTTCCTAAAGTCACGCCAGACCTCCCAGGTTTTGGTATATTTACATGATATTGCCAATCTCTAGATGATGTATGGAACCCATTAGGCAATCAGGCATATCGACTAAATCCACAAAAAGAGATATTATAGAAAAGGAGGTAGACTCTTTGGTTAAAACATAACTTAGCTGAGCCTAGTAATTCTCCCCTGGGCTTCACTTTGTTTTCTCATTCCAAAACCTGAGGCATTGCACTGAATATCGTAGCGAACTAGTCAATGTCTCAGACCTCACCCTTTACCTGATTGAAGATATAATAGACACGAAAGCGCAGTACCATCAGTACCGGACCCATTAAAAAGGATATTATCAAGTGACTCACGATAGGGCAAAAAATAATTCAGCATTGCACCCATTTGGTCTTTTTTCATTTGGTTATGTCGTTTGGCTTTTAATGCTCCGCCAGATTCCAGAGGGGCAATCAATCACTTAATTCAGACCTAGGTGATCGCCGCTTACCTGGATGACCTGTAGTGGTGTCGGATTTGCCGACGAATATCTGGGTATGTTTGAGATACTGTCAGACGAACAAGAATGGATTCGCACTATAAACCTGGCTAAATCTGCTTTTTGGCCGGCCTTCAGTGATCAATTTATATATATCGCTACATGGTATGGTTAGATCTGTTGACAACGTAGTTTTTATCTTCGTCCCTCCTCACCTCCATACTGCAGGAAGGAACCTTAGCGCTTCCTGGGGATGTACTGCCACGACTGTTTGCAGTGGGGTCTCTTCCAGCGGGTCGGACCCCCTGATGAGACCTTAATGAAGTTCTGGCGGTCCCTTTACATCGGAACCAGAGGTGCGACTAGTCTTTCCACCTGCCTTTCAAAAGTTTTCCTTGTCAAGTTTGTAGTCTAATTTCTGACTATGGCCTCTTTGGTTTTTCCATTTCCGCAATCGATGCTTAGAAGTGTGTTGGAGTGGGGGGTCAGTGTTCTACAACTGGATTTTCCAATCCACTGATGTCCTCACCCTGTATGCGCATTTCACTCCGCCAGGCAAGGCAAGCGGGAAAAACATCGGACGGCCCCATGACCAGGAAGGATGTTCCTGGCTCTGGTGTTGGCAATAAAGAATGTTGAATGTTACCTCCAGTCTTGCTCACGTAAACAACCTTCTAGTCTACTATAACCCATCATGTCAACCAAACCACCACATTCCAACCAGCGTAATCTCCCTCCGGCTGGGCTCTCTCACCCAGCCGCCCCATAGACCCACAAGTCCGTCACATAAAGGTGGACAACCTGATTGGCGGACTCCTTATCCTCCCAGCCTGAAGGAAATGCAGCTACTTCCTCCAGACGCACTAGGTGATCACCTCCCCGCCTCGCCACGGGAGGATCTTTTTGGAGGGGGTGTGCTACTTAACCACCATGCATCTATTATCCTGATCTACTCTACCCAGCACCACTTGTTGGCCCATCTAGGACTTAAAAACGACGAGATATGACTAGTCTTTAGTTACCACTCCGGGTTTCCTTCTCCATATCCCAAGGTTGTTGCGCCACCTCCCTACAAGTCTTCTTCATCAGCTCCAGTTCGATGAGAGGGCAGTTCACTCTGAAATGACCACAGGACTTATCCTGAGAAAACTCATCAACAGAGTGACTACTCCACCGCTGCCTTCTACAATACTCAGCCTACTGTCAGCTATCTCAGCTCAAGACTTAAATATTTGTAATTTTTATATTGCCGCCTTCCGCCATTCACCTTTTGCTTCCAAATTATTTTATGTTGTATAAATATGTATATACTGTTAATGTTTAGGGTTAAGTGATGGTTAAGGTAAATTATAGGAAAAGCTGAATATTTTGTTAAGGAATTTATAAGTACTTTATTATACACAAACAAAAACCCTGCATCCTTTGTCTACCCTTTTATAGTCCCATTGTTCCTTGTTTTTTTATTGTTGTTGCCTGCTGGATCTGAGTAGACTTCTTGAATCATATTCCCCAACTCAAATATATATATATATATATATATATATATATATATATATATATATATATATATATATATATATATATATATATATATATATATATATATATATATATATATATATATATATATATATATATATATATATATATATATATATATATATATATATATATATATATATATATATATATATATATATATATATATATATATATATATATATATATATATATATACACAGGCAAATTTAATAATGATGTCCTGCTCAGCGAGATTCCACTTCAACAATGGTTTATGAATTATTTAATATAAAAAATCATTTAACTATATCTATTTATCCATTGGCTGGAATTATTTTATCTTTGAAAAGTAAAACTATGGGTTGTATAAATTCAATTTGTTGTCATGTAATGATTCCAGCAATGCAAATTATATTTTTCTACATAAGGCAGTGACATTTTAGAAGGAAACAGTATTTAAACGTTTGCAATTCACTTATCTCTTGCTGAGAGTCGCCAGTAATTTGTCACGAGAAATATTCACCTCAAAGACACTGCCATTACGGCCAATCTGGCGATTGCAGTCCTGTGCTTAGTTCTTTTGTAGATCACATGGCACCCCAGCTTTATCGTGTAGCCCAATGATTATTGGTCACATTATTGACTGTATGAAATAGCTAAAAACAACTATCTGTGCATACTTTGTGGGAAACAATATGAGACCATGGACGATAAATATTGGTATTATGATGGATCTCTCCTCTACAACTACATCCGCATTCCAATATGACAGTATCCTAGCAACCAGCCAACTGCTCCGGGGGGGTCCAGCTGCTACGTTTCCTCTGACAACATAATACCACGTAACTCTACACTGTCACTAGTCACATGTAAAATTTCAGAGCACATCGACCCCCACCTGCACAG